GAGGCAGAAGGATCGCCAGAGCCCAGCAGGTCAAGGCTGCAGTGGCCAGGAGCGGCCACTACATTCCAGTCTGGGTGACAGAGTGAGACTCCAACTCCAAAAAAAAACCCAGCAAGAAATGTCCCTCCCTCCTACCCTATCCTGTCTGCCACCCATCAGTGTTCCCTCTGTGGAGGCAACCAGGGTTAGCAGTTTGAAGATGTATTTAACTGCTTTTCAGTTGAGAACTCTGGAGAACTCTGTGGACGCCTATGTAAATCTTTATATCCAAAGCTCCTTTCTCCAATCCAGGCAGAGCCACCACCCTATCCCTATCCCCACTCCCACCCTTCCCACCCCATTCAGCCTCAATCCTAAGCATGTTCTGTTAACAATGACAGCCACCGTTTTCTGAGCTCCTAGAAAAACAAATGATTAAACACTTTGTGGTTCATTTTCCTCTACACTAATAATCGCTAACATTTATTGAGCACTTTCTGTGTACTGGGCACTGTGCAACGTACTAGACATGCATTGTCTTATTTAATCTGCCCCAAGTCATCGTCTTATCCTTCTGTACAGATGGGGACAGACATGGAGGCTCAGAGAGGTTATGTAACTTGCACCGATTTGCATCTAGGCCAACCTGAACCCAAACCCTTTCTCTTAAATATCGGCCCTCTCGCCTATCTGTAGCACAGAAATTCTGGGAGCCTGCATCAGAGCAAGTGAAAGGGAGACCTTAATTTAGGCAGACCTTAATTCAAATTCTGCATCTGGCCCCTGGCAGCAATGAGACCTTGAGGGGGGTATGAGTCTCCATACCTTCTTCATTGGTTTAATACAAAGGTTAAATGCATGTAAATAATGGCTTTTAAATGCCTAGTAAACGACTAAATAAATGTTTAGATCTTGTGTAGATCTGGTTTGAATAAACTAATTGTTAAAAAGGTATGTTTGAGACAATCAGAGAAATACATGTGGACCTGATATCATATATTAAGAAGTTAACAATTTATCAGCCTGGGCAATATAGCAAGACCTTGTCTCTACAAAAAAAAAAAAAAATCAAAAAAATTGCTGGGTGTGGTGGCACGTGTC